TCAGGGCCATGGTCACCCTTGCTGTTTGCATTTGTTGGCCCTTTATTTGCAGTAGACAAACCTGTTTATAGATTCAGTCCAGAGCTTGGCTTCCATTTGCTGAGCTGCTTCCTGGAATTTCTCCTGTTTTGAAATTTCTCCTTTTTGCTTTTCAGTCCAATGCTGACCTTTGTTACGCTGCCTTATCATCTATCCCTGGCCTTCAGCCTGTCCGGCCCTCTGGAGCCATGTACCTCATGGTAAGCAAGGAGAATGACCTGGCATTTCCAGACTGCCAACACTCACACAAGCTCTCGTTGCCCGTGCTTGCCAGTGTTTCAGATTGGTGCTTGGCACTAGGTCTCTGTTACTGTGCATTTTCATGTTGCCCAGTGCTGTAGGTACATCCCTTGGGCACTTTAGCAGGCCAGAATATGTTGTTCACTGCTCACAGAGCAGAGGCTGGTACACTTCACCCACTTGCTCCTACACAGAACTCCATGACTTGTACTTTGCAAGACAATACTGTTTTACCTGGATTTAGAGCAGCTGGCAATGGGAAGCCCCTACACTACAAGGCAGATTATTATGCCTCCTGTAGAAGATGTAGCCTTTTTCATACTGGCATGTTTGTCTTCTGCCTATGGTGTTCCCTCTTTTTCTGCCTTTCCTATGCCTGTTTGTTTTAACTTTTAAGAATGTGGTGAAATTTCCTTTTTCATCTCATCCAGCTCAATTGAGACATTTATGACATTTTAACACACTTTCGATTTTATTTTTTTTTTTGTCTCATAGTGTCACGAGCTTTTTATCAGCTCTTAAAATGTGGACTCTGAACTGGAGAATACTGCAATATCAACCTCACTCACAGTTGACCCAGTTTCCAGTTTTGCCCAGAGTTACACACATCCTCTGCTCATGCTCTAATATTCTTTCGTACCTATAGCATAATACCTATTGCAGATCCTCTGCTCAGCTCTAATATTCTTTCATACCCATTGCATTTCTGCAGTATCTGAACACTCACTTTGAATTAAATCGTCTGGTAAATTTTTTTCTACTAGCTCTTTCAGAACTTCTCCATGCAAATTATCTCTCAAATTATCTGTTTAAGAATATTTTCACGAGATATTTAAAATAATCTTTGGTTATAAAGGTCAGGCTCAATGGAGTCCTGATCTAGGGAATGTCAGCCCTGCCCTGGACAGGGGTGAGGTGGAACTAGATGAGCTTTAAGGTCCCTTCCAACCCAAACTGTTCTAGGATGCTATAAATAAGTGGCCAGAATAGTGCTGTCTTTATGTGACAGATGGACAGCTGCCCTCTTTACAAATACACAACAGAAATATTTATTGAACATTGTACCATTTTCCTGTTGTTTTACCAACTGTATCATCCTACAAGCATTTATCTTTTTCATGATGCTCTAGCCTTGCTATCTTTCCTTTTTTTATACACCAAAACATTAGTTTGCCTTTTTTTTATCCATATGGACTTCTTGCATGACAGAGTTATAATGTATATGGTTCTCTCCCAAGTTCTTTTTCAATGTCATATTTATTCCTTTTCACTTCTAATTGGTTACTGCACCTTTGCCATCAGGTGTTTTTTACTCAGGTTGTGCTTAACTGAAATTCCAGCTTTATATAGATAATGAAGGCTTCTTGACAAGACCAGATTTCATTTATGTATTTCTGTTTGTGTCTTACATTCCAGTCAGCCCAAACCATGAACAAAAATTGAGGGCAGAGAGTTGCGCTTGACTGGGAAGTTGTTGGGCTATATGCATAAACAGGGACACTGCAGATAGTTTTGGTGCCCTTGATTACTATGTTAAATCCCTCTGCTGCAGGTCGAGATTGAGATGGAACATTTCCCGGAGTTTGAAAATGATGTGGAGTTCACTGAGCGACTCATCTCAGAGCAGTCTGTGTTCTGCTTGCCAGCCACGGTGAGCCTGACACTGAGAGCCTCGGGGAGCTGTGTGGCCAAAGTGTGGGGGGAGAAGCTGCAGGGTTTGATCCCTGAGCTCTCGGGACAGGCTGAGCTGTGTGTGCAGTGTCCATGGTCTGTAACGGTGTGTGTGAGCTGGCTGTCAGCTCCAGGTACTGTGTGTAGGCATGGGGTGAGGCAGTCTCTGGCTCACTAACAGCCCTCACTCAGGCTGCCAGGACCTTCCCAGCTCCAGGCCTGCTCTGTATTTCCCAAGTTGACAGAGCTATATCCACACCTCCTTGCTGAAGGTGCTCCCTCAAAGGCCCAGGACTGCTCCCACCTGTGTTCCAGTCTCCTGCCCCTGTAGGCACAAGGAAGGCTGAGAACATTGTTCCCTGTGTTCACCTCCTTCAAGCTCCACTTCCAACATTGGATATGGACAGGGCCTTAAATATTCTCCAGTCCTCTTCTTCACTAACTCCTTCCAGCCCATTCCCTGGGTCTGCATAGGCCACACAGAATCACGGAGTCACAGAATCAATCAGGTTGGAAAGAACCTCCTAGAATATCGAGTCCAGCCTATGACCTAACACTCCCATGTCAACTAGACCATGACACCAAGTGCTATGTCCAGTCTCTCCTTCAACATCTGCAGGGATGGTGACTCCACCACCTCCCTGGGCAGTCCATCCCAGTCCTTTGGTCTGTCCTCCTCACAGCATCATGTCTGCACAGATGGAGATAGGAGACTAGCTTGGAAGAGAAAAAAGCAGTCTAAGGGAGCAGGAGGCAGCCCTGTGTCCTACACTGATCGATTTCAGTTGCTGACACAGCACATAGTCCCAAGGCAGGGCTCTGAAACTGCAGCACTGCCCTAGGTAATCTGCCAGCTTCATCTTTTCTTCTTTCAGTGCTTTGAGTACCCCAACTTCTTCCGCGTGGTGATCACCGTGCCCGAGGAGATGATCCTGGAGGCCTGCAGCCGCATCCAGGAGTTCTGCGAGATGCACTACCAGGGTGCTGAGGGGGCCCAGGATCTGGAATGTGACAAGTAGCCGTAGCTGGCCTCCTGCCTCTGCCAGGCTAGACCTTGTGTGAGGCAGCAGGCAGGCAGGCAGGGCTCCTCCCAGCCAGCCCCACAGCCCGCTGCCTGCAAGCAGCCACTGTTTTGCTGCTACACTTTTTGTGCTCCACACACCCCTCAGCACTATGGGAAGAAGCAGGCACTTTTCTCTCCTCCTCCATTACAGTTTGCACACCCTGTGGCATCCAGTGCCCCTGGTCTCCACACACTCAGCACGTGCACCTGGTGTTGGTCTGTGCTGCCTATGCACTGGCTGCAGACGGGCAGGAAGCTGTTCCTGGGTCAGGCCTCACTGGCCTGTAGCTCCTGTGCTGGCCACACTGTCCCTTGGGGTCAGGAAAATGACACTGTCTTAGAGGATAAGAGAAAAGTACCCACCTCGCACTTACCTGTGTTACCTTAGGAGGCCAGAGCTCTTTATACCAAGCCCTTTGTGTGACGAAGGGAGTAAATTATTGCAACTTTTTTTATTAATAAAGATTCTGACACATCAGTCCTGCACTGTGCTCCTGTTGTGCTGGGTCAGGCTCAGTCACTGTGTGGCTCACCCCTGCTCACCCACGGTGCTGTCTGCCTGGGGCATGGTGAGAGTGAGTGCCTCAGACCCCAAAGGCACCTGCCAGCCCTGAGAGCAGGATGGGCCCTGCAAGCCTGGCACAAAGCTGTGCCCTGTTGGCTGTGGCAGCCTGGCTGTGCTCGCTGCAGAGCAGTCCTGGCTGCACCTGCTCCTTGGTCCCACACCATGTGCCCCAACAACACAGCGGGCGCTGGTGCCCACTGCTGTGGGGAGGGACTGCCCCTGGGGCCAGAGCCAGCCCTGCTGGGTGCTGGTGCCAGAGTACTCAGGGCTGGGACAGGCACACGTTTCCTGCTGTAGTGGTGACTCATGGGGTGGCACCTGTGGCTCACACTTCGTGGGGCGTCAGCGGTGCCAGGGTTACTGATTGCTGAGCACATCAGCTCCACGAAGCAATAAGGAACTGGTGACCTGGTGTGGGAGGAGATGACAATGCCCATCAGCACATGCATTCTGGTGACCTGGTCAGAAGCCGTTTCTGGAACTGACAAAGGGACAAGTTGTGGGGTGCCTCACATCATCACTTTCAGCTCTGTTCACCTGTCCTCCCGCAGAATTGGGATCCACAGGTCAAGTCTGGCTCCTCAATGATGGGAAAAGTGAGCTAGCCCTAGATTACACACTGACAAATCTACCAGGTTCTGTAGCAATTTCATTGTCTCCCCTTAGCTTGCCCAGTACAAATCTGGGTACCAGTACTCCGTTAGAGGGGAGCTGTCTCTCTGAGAATGACAGCAGTGTATGAAAAGGTCTTTGACATGTCAGCTGTCTATGCTGTATCTTTTCCTTTCAAAGAAAGCAATGCCAGATAAAAAGAGAGGGTGCATGGTACGCAGCTTCAGAGATTCCATGCCATTAGACCTCCAAATAGAGCAAAATAACCTGAGCTGCTTAAGACAAAACACTGGCAAACAATAAATAGGATGATGTGTGAAGGGTCTGTTGGGCCAGGAAACCTTAACAGCATGATGTTGCTGCACTGCTATGCTGTCTTGCACCTACTACAGCTGACAAGTTTCATCTGTTTCCTTGAACTCTTCTCCACATATCTTAGGTTCTGTGAATTTAGTCCCCATTACTAATGAACAGTAATGGGGATTACTGCTCTGTTGAGGTCGCTCTCCATTCGGGAACCCTTTTCCTTTCAGAGTCCCCTCAGAGATGTCTGTTAACATGCAAATGATCTGCAACAATTAACGTGATTCTGTTTCTTCTTGACCCAGCAGCATTTGGCCAAGGATGTTGAGAGATCCAGAGACAGGCATATATATACACCTTGTAAATCTCAGGATATTTAGATTTCTCAAGGCCACATCCTCCATTGGCATCTTTTGCAAACATAACACTTCCTTTTGACACACCTAGGTTTTCCCTGATGCAAAAGCAAACTAGCATTTAATCACAAATGTTCTAGTATCATTTTTCAGGTATTATACTCACATATGCCTTGCGTCATAGTGTGGGTGTAGCCTAGAACACCCTGCCAGCCACACAAACCAGCCTAAGGTGCTGTTTGGAGGTGCTTTGTACCAAAGAAAACCCCTTCAGCACTGAGACCAAGGAAGGAGTCAAGACATAGGTCTGAAGCTCCTCTTCTGCAGATGTTCAGACAAAAGTCTGCAGGGCTATAGTATAAGTCTCTTAGTGCTCTTATAACTGATTGCAGGAAAATAATGGAAGATTAGCGAGGAGGATTGTAAATATGTTCATGTGACTTGCAGCTGAGGCGTAGAAAAATGCATTTGTTATACTAACTGTTGTTTAGCCCTGTGTCTTTCATAAGTAGAACATCCGTGTTTAGATAACATAGGCCTGTGATCAGCTTAGCAACACTCTATTGAACATGTGTGAGACCCCTGCTCTGCTGTGGTAACAATCAGACCTCAGTGGCAAGCTATGCCTGCAGTAATCCCTGAAATACAGGTTAAAACAGCAGGTTTGGTGATCCTCTAGCATGGACTCTGTGTTGCTGGCATCCCTGTCTGCCTCGGCCTGGGTACTGCTTTGAGGGTCCTCTGGGTGATGAGGCAATGGAAATAAATGCAGTCTGCATTTCATCTGTGGTTTTGGGGATGTTCCTGCATCTTACCCATGCTGGCTTACACCAATCCTCAGCTATCCTCCCTGTCTTAGCCAGGGAGCACCAGTGGTATCCTCTGGCACAGGCTTGCAGTGTGCTTCTGCTCTTTTCTGTGCTGTCTGGACTGGCTGTGACCTACCCCAGACATGGGGACCTAGACAGGGAGGCAACCTCGTGTCTAGCACTCCTCTTGAGAATGAAGGAACTTTTCAGCTCATGGGCAAATGTCCCCAGCTTCCAAAGGGGCTGGCAGCAGGGTTCAACCCCGACAGGCAAACAGGCCCTGCAGGCAAGTGGTGCCAAATCACACCTGCCAGCAATCAGGCCATCAGCTCCCCCAGGTGCCTCGAGAGCTTGAATGCAGCCCAGCCCCTGACCCCTTCCAGGTAGCACTGGCTGCTCCCAGCAGGGCTGTAAACCAGAGAGGCCCCTAAGGATTTTCCTGCCTTTGGGCCATGGCCTTTGGCTTCAAGACCCTGTCTGCACTGGCCTGCTCTCCACCAGCATGTAGACACCTGCAGTGGGAAGATGTGGTTTGCACTGATCTGAACCCAGGATGGTTGCAAGGATGCAGTCTGTGGACAATCGTGGAGGCCCAGCTTGCCAGGGAGCTCAGGTGAGGTTTGAGGATCGTATGGGAGTGGTACTCGAGGGAAAGGTGTCTGTGCACAGATCCTCTGTAGGTGAGGGCTGGCACATAACCTCATTCTCCCAGGCTGTGCAGGTCTGTCAGAGGCCAGAGGAACTCATCTGCTCAGGTGGCATTAGCCACAACACACAGCAGAGAGAGGCACAGGCACAGATAGGTTTCCACAAGGATGAGAAGTGGCCAGGGAGCTACTATGGATGTAAGAGGAGGTGGCAGCAGTGGGCTGGGAAACAATAACTGCTTAAGGTAACTGGGAGTGATTTCACAAACCAGGATGTGAGAGGGTAGAGGAGCTCTGCAGGAAGAGGAAGGCTCAGCATGGGCAAAGTGTTGCTATTAACAGGACAGCCAAAAAAGACGCAGCCTCAGCAGGGTTCCAGTAGCTGGAAGGTACCTAAAAGCTAGAGAAGCTTAACAACTGGTCAGAGCAAAGTTGGGGTTGTATACTGGCCTTCAGCCTAGGTCCCCAGCACTGGGAGACCCTCCTGAGAGGCAGAAGCACTGGGATCTCCCTCATGTTGCTGGAAGCCCAGATCTATACCAGCCCTTTGCTTTCTCATGTATTGTCTCTAGTTTGTTTATTTTACTTGGATCAGTTCCCTGAAGCTTTGCTGGAGCAAACTGGTACTGTCAATACATCTGAATGACTTATTTCCTGGATATCTGGTAGAAGTAGTTAGTGGTAACATTGGGTTTTCTGCACTCCAGTGCATTGCATGGGCTGTGTATGCTTCAGGTCTGCTTAATGCTACTGATTCTCTCAACTCCAGACTAGCTGTTCTACTCCAAGCTTCAGTGCTTCTGCTGATTTCTGGTTTTAGACTGCCTGTGTATGTAAAGAAGGCAGAAGCTGACCAGGCAAATGGATTCAAAAGCTGCATAAATAATCTTTTCTTATTTCTAATTTTCTCTTTACTGTAATGTGTTAGTAAAGTATTATGTGACCTCATTCTCAGAGCCTTATTAACACTAGTTTCTTTCTTTCTCTCCTCTTTCTCTATTCCCCCACCACTTGATATTAGAGTGCAACATTACAATGAAGACAATAAATGATACTTCAACTGTGAGCAGGGTGAGAGAGGGAGGGGATTAGCCACTATCCTTGCTCTAGCCTATTGTAACTTGGATTTCTTATGTGCCAATACAGACAAGTCTATTTATCTCAAACTGCTTCTAAATAAAAATATGACTTTAAAACTTATCTCAGACACAAGGAAAAGGCCATAGCAACCCGAGTGCAGGAGCACACCAGCCTGTCTCATATAGGGCATCGTAGCAGTGATTTGTCCCATCTTTCATTATTCCAGAAGCCTTATGGGACAAGATCTGCTCTGGCTCAGGAAGAACTTGCTCTGACTGGAATTTAGGATAGGCATTGCACCTCTGCTCGTATGCCTTCTGGGGCTTGCCTCACTGCTGTGTTTTCTATCCATTCTCTATGAATGACAAGGTCAAGATCAACCAGGGTGACTGTATAGAGTATCCCTACCAGAAACGGCTCTTTCTGAAAGGCAGAGTTCTGCACTGCTGCCTTCATCTCTATGAAAGTGATGACATACAAGCTTCTTTTCTGCAAGGAATAGGGTTTTCCCTGTGCATTTCAAAAGTCAATAGTTTAGCAGTACTCAAATTCAAATCCGGTGGATTTGGACAGGATATCATGCATGGCCCTGTGTGAGCAGCCACATTGCAGCTTTCTGCCACACTCAATCTTCAGATTTTAGAAGAGAATGGCCCTCTCATCTCTGCCTGGAATCCTCTGTCAGTGAATAAACACTTCTGTCTTCAACGGAGGGTGCTCCCAAGGGCAGGACTTGTGAGACAGACAAGCTGATTTATTGAAGAAGAGGAGATGCAGAATGTATGAAGGCCTTTATCAGTCTCAGTCCCCTGTATGTGGCACATGGTTGTGTTCTATCTCACATGTGACAGATGGCTCCAGGATTGATGTTCCTCCTCTGACCTAGTCACGTGGGCTCCTTTCGCCATCACTTGAAAGACACAGAGGCTTCCACAGCATTATTCCCTTGAGCTGGCACAAGATGAGTTGTGTTCTACAGGGCACATAAAAGCAAATGTTAAAATCTTGTATAACTTAAAGACTGCAAATAGGGAGAAATTACTCATTCTCTCCTGATAAAAAAGAAATATGATAATACCAAATACAGTTTTTCACATGTAGGTTCAAAACAGAGCAAAGCAGTTCTTACAACATATAGCCAAACATACTGTTATTGCCAGGAAATCGTGTTGATGCTAAAAGTATTTGAGTTCAAAATATGACTGGACAAGTGAATTAAAAAAAAAAATCTAGGTGCTGTAAAATGCAAAGACAAGCTTGATCTGAACTGACGGCTTCTGTACAGTCACCTACTCACAAACATCACTCTCCACTCTTGTCACAGGCAACAGAAAGAAACAGGAACTTCCAGGGCATCACTCACTAGGTGATTATGGACACCTACATTCAGAGAGGTGAAATGTGTACTCCAGGACAGCACCTAATGAGGAAATGTTTTTCTTGTTCTCTTCCCTAGGTATGTGCTCCTGATGAAGACAGGGCAAGGGGTTAGTTAAACCTCACAGCTGAGCCGGTTTCACTGCTCTAGGTATGCCTGGTTCTCTCACCAACAATCAAAGACATGCCCTCAGGGGAGAAGTCTTCTCCAGTGTAAGTGCTGAGGAGCTACCTCTAGTCCATACTGCTGACATTACTCCTCAATCTGCTCCTGTTGCTGCTGCACTGGGTCAGGTACAGGCTACATGGGCATTTCCCAGAACTCACTAGTCTCTGAGTCCCCGGGAGGAGGGTGGAAAATAGAAATGTGGCATTCTCTGGATCAATTGTAAGAGACCTGTGTCTTTCCTGCACTGAGAACCCCAGACCAGAGCAGAGCAGAGGGGGAGAATCTTCTGCCTCATCCTGCTGCTCACACTGCTGGTGACACAGCTCAGGGCATGGTTGGTTTCTGGGCTGCCAGTGTACATGGCTGGCTTGTGTCCAGCTTCTTGTCCACCAACACCCCCAAGTCCTCCTTCTCAGGGCTGCTCTCAGTCCAATGTCCACACAGACTGTATTTGTACTTGGGATTTGTGCTTGTTTTTGCTTTGTTTCATAAAGCTTTAGAGTCAGACATACAGGGAGAATCACGTTCCTTGTTGAGGAGCCAGAGGTTTTCTCCTCCAAGTTTCACAACATGCAGGTCTTGGGAAAAACAGTGTGCCAGGACAGTGTGCCCTCCCAAGCCTTGTCTCCAGAGGAGAGCACATTCTCCTCTGTGCAACTGCTCATGCCACAGAGGCTGCCTTCTGGAAAGCTCAGCCAAATAGTTGGAACTTGGGATCTGTACCTCAGTATTCAGTATCAGTGCCAAAGGATCAGCCTGTTTTGGGCAAACTGCATACAGCTGGAACAGAAGTTTTGGTATGTTTCTGTTCATGCAGCTCTTGGCCAGGGGGGAATAATGCTTCAGGAAGAGCCACTGGAGTGGTGTGACCTTTACAAAGGTTTTGTAACACTTAATGACATACAGGTATATCCTTCCTACAGGTGCAAGGCATGGGAACACATAGCTGAAATCCAGGCTGCACAGAACACTGAATGGTTCTCTGCAGGGCCCCACTTGGACTGCTGCCAGCTTCTCACTTTGCTTCCCAGCCCAGGGTTACCAGGGCTTGACCATCTGTGTTTGCAAGGCAGCAAGTGAAAGGGAACATGGCCTACCCCATTTGCATTTTCCCTCCTGCTTGAAGGACCAGCCTTGCCCAGATTTTTGACTTCTGCTGTCTCCTATTCTCCACTTATCCTCAGAGCAGCTCAGTAAAGTCCCTGGGGACAGGGGACACCATTAAGAGAAGGTATACATCTCTCCAGATTGTGTGATGGAAATTATGAGATCTGGAATAGGAATGACCCAAAGCTATTGTCTGTGTGGTCATTTCTCTTGAACCCAGTGCTGCTCTGCTTCACTACTTCACCTGGCACAGCCCCACTGCAGCTCCAGCACCCTTGTGAATCATTAACAGGCCAAGTCCAGTAGCTCCTTTCACAGCTTCTCCTTTCACACAGTTTTCTCTCCCAGCCCCAGATGTTTCATTCAAGAAAGGCACAGACAAAGGATAGTCAAAAAGACTTTGTGTGACTCTGCATATGCTGACATGGCAAACAACCAGAGCAATGGTAGGCAAACGTACTCTATCTCTGCACTCCTGGTGGGTAAACTGGTCTTCCTGGCAACAAGGGTTCTTGTTTGTCCTTCGCACTGACACTCCACGCACAACCCTGGTCCTCCTTTTACAGGGAGCAGTCTTGGACTTGCAACAGGACTTAAAAGCATTTCTCAGTGTCCTTCATGAACTTCCTGGCTCTGCTCCTTTCCTAGTAGTGCTTGGTCATCTGTGCCCCTGCAAGAAGCTGCTCACTGCCATGCCCTGCACTCAGTGCAGGGTGGAGTCCTCTCGTTTGAGGCTGGTCAAAGTAGGCGGGCAGTGCAGAGCAGTTGTGGTGGAGCAGGGGATGGGAGGGAGCAGGCACAGGTGTAGGTAGGGGAGGAGTACATGTGTATGTGAGAGCCCAGCATGAAGGCAGAGTGCTAGTACATGAACACACAGCTCTCCGTGTGACTGCCTGGTGGTGTGTGTGCCACAGCAGCAAACGTGTGTGAGGGCAGCTTTGCTTAAATCAGGACTGGTGGTGCTTCAAGAGGACTTGTCAAGGTGAGACTTTCAACCATTTCTTGTTATCTGGTGTGGATGCTCCTGTGCCCAGAACTGTATTCACTGTTCCTGCTAGGCAGCCTGAACTGGGACATAATTTTTGTAAAACTTTGTAAACGTATGGTGCCAGAAAATTGCTACAGTGCTGCTGATGGTCTGGCTTAGAGGGTAGTTCCTGCTTTTCCAGGCTGTCTTCTCAGTGCTTCTTCTCAGGTTTTCCCACTAGTGACAGTCATGTCATCTGCTCTCCTCTGAATGGGCAGATGACTTCTAATCCTCCAGAAGTCGATGAAGCCAAACTGAAGAAGCGTTTGGAAAAACTATGAGCAACCATCAGTGCCATTAAAGACCAGTGCCTGGGGCTTCCCTGGCACCAGATCCTCTTTGCTCTATTACTGCCACTACAGCAGTGGGGAACCTGTACAGGTCTGGAGAACTACCCAGACTGGCAGAGTACTCGACCTCAGTCTGCACAGCACAAGGTGTTTTGGGCTGTGTCTCATACCCACCCCAGACATGCACAGCCTCAACAAACCTGTGCTCTGGGGACATGCTACCCGTGCTCAGGGTGGGTTTGATGGGTATGTCTCTCTTGGGCTGCTTGCTGCTTTCTGGAATGCTTGCTCTTTGCCAGGATGAAGCTTTTCCAAGGATCCTGTTTGTTTCTGGGAAAGTTTAAAACTCTGGTTTGTGTGGGTTTGGGTTTTTTGTTGCTGTTGTTGTTTTTGTTTGGTTTGGTTTTGGTTTGGTTTTGGTTTTTTTTGAGATTCCAACTGCTTGGGCAGGCACATCCCAGTCCTCTGTGTTCTCGTGTGTTTGCCATGGGAGACTAACATAGCCACACTGGATTGTTATATTTTTCAGTAGTTTCTGTACTTCATCCTTTGTGCCCTGAGATTCTTCCTGTTATTTCTGCTCTCAGTCAAATCCTGGCTCATCTCTGCCAGCAGACAGTAACATTGTGCCTTTTTCTGTTCTGCAGCTGAGATTGTCCCAACCATTTTGGGCAGATCTTTACCTGGCAATTCTGTGAGGGCTTCATATTTTCACTTTTGCAATATGGAATTAGTTGAATCACTGGTAACTCTGGATGTTTGCTGCAGGGAAAATATGTTTAAGCTTGAGACTTTTGTTTAGAAACATCCCAGCTGCCATCATTGAGAGATACAGTGGTGAAAAGGTTATGTAATTGGTATTTCTTTCATATTAGGGAATGTCTGACAGAACCTCTACCACTCTTTGCTGCTCCTCTATTCCACTTCACCAGGCACACAACTCAGTTCTTTTACCCTCTGTGGAACAGACTGGTTAGGACAACAGTCATCACTATTTTTTGCATAAGAGTGAAGAAGCTGTTGAAGCTGTGGCCTCACATGAGGTCATTTCTACCAAGAAGAGTCACAGGGATGGTCTACATACTCTGGCATGTCTAAAACATCCAGCTATCCCACCCTGATTTGATTCCAGACAAAGGCATACCCTTGCTTCCTGGAAAAAAGCTGAATCCGTTCTCAGACTATTCACATGTAGGTTTCCAGAAAACCAATTATTTCCATGGTTTTAAATCTGTCTGGATATCTTCATGCCAGTGTCCATATCTCCTCAAAAGAGATTTTTTTCAGTAGCTTCTGGCTTTAGTCCAGGAACTCTGTCAGCAGTTAGAATTATGTTATTAATGGTGCCAGATGGAAGTGATATCATCAAAGTTTGTTTGGAAGCCAGGACTTTCAGTAAACACTGCTGCATTCATTTGCAAGGAGGAAGCTGATATATGAATCATTTTTACAACAGTCTTTGTTTGCAGCTCTTCCTAGGGTTGGTCTGAATAGCAACCTGATTTAGCTTTCTGTCAGACCTGAACACTAGAGGCCATTTGTGTAATCCAAAAAGTCAGTGGGCTTCTTGTCCAGGAGAGTAGAAGCATGTGGTCCCTCACTAAATGCCCAGCCCCAGCCTTGTAAGATGCTACTAAAGTAAAATTCATATTGTGGTGGCACTTACTGGCAACAACCAGACTTACCCATTGGGCTGGGTATTGTCCCGGCTCTGAGAAATTATAATTGCTGCTTTATAAACCCTAAGCTCAAAACAAATGCCCAGCAAGTAGATTAGATAAACAAGCTGATTTATGCACATATATTGGAGGGAGACATGAATGCTCTTCCTAGTTGGTTGACAGCAGTGAATGTACCTGAAAATCTAAAACATCAGTGCTAGAGTAACTGGAATCATGGGAGGAGACACTCCCATGCAAATCAGCCTGAAAGTTTCACTGCAGTGGAAATTCGAGGCAGGGCATGAGGAGGTGGTTAGGGAAACCTTGGGAATGTTCACACCTACTGTGGACCCAGAGGATGGTGTGGTAAGCAGGTAGCAAGGAAGCACTGTCTGCACTGCAGTTGGTTGGCTCACACTTGGTAGTGGGGCTGCTACTCTGTGTGGGCATGGCTGCCTGAATCCTGGCTAACCCTGGGCTGCACAAAAGCAGTAAGGATGTGGGCTCTGATGCTGCTGTTGCCCAGGAGGACTTGCATCTCGCCCTGCAGCCCCGAAGGCCCTGCTCTCTCTGTCCTGTCTGGCTGTGGATGTACCTGGAAGGACTGACCATGATTTAGAACCTGTAAGAAGTTTTAATTTTAGTTCACCTAAATGTGAAGGAATTGCACTGGCAAGAGAGGTGGATTTTGTCCCTGGGGATGGCCAATGCTGCAGGAACCCACCTGTGTTCAAGGCACAGTCAGGCCCCGCAGGGGAAGGGAAGGAGAACACACATGACAGGAGCAGTTGGCAGAGCAAGCTTCAAAGGACTTTGTAAAAATTAAGTGAATCCTTTCTGCCTCAGATCCCATCTCTGATGATGTACTTACTTCAGATTCCTATGCCAGCTGGTACTCAGGCTATGAATTGTCCCCAGGCAGCACAATAGACATTTTCCAATAACTCAGTCATTCTCAACAGGCAGAACAGAGCTTCAGTGTGAGAAACAAGGAGTCAGCTTTGGGCAGAGCTTTGACTGGCATGTTCTATTGTACCTCTTCTCATAAAAGTCCCATGAGGAGAGGCTGAGGGAGCTGGGGTTGTTCAGCCTGGAGAAGAGGGGGCTCAGGGGAGACCTTATCACCCTCTACAACTCCCTGAAAGGAGGTTGGAGTCAGGTGGGGGTTGGTCTCTTCTCCCAGGCAACCAGCAGGAGGACAAGAGGGCACAGACTCAAGCTCTGCCAGGGGAGGTTTAGGTTGGATATTAAGAAGAGATTTTTTTATGGAAAGAGTAATCAGGCATTGGAATGGGCTGCCTGGGGAGGTGGTGGATTCACCATTCCTGGAGGTTTTCAAGATGAGACAGGACGTGGCACTTAGTGCCATGGCCTAGTAACCATGGCTGGACTGGACTCGATGATCTTTGAGGTCTCTTCCAACCTGGTTGATTCTATTCTATTCTATGAAAAGATCTATGGGATGAGTGGGGATGGAGGGAGGGGTAGCAGGAGAGTCTTTTAAAAGGAGTTAGGCTAAGAAAGGTGTTAGTAGGCAGGTAAGCAGGTAAGCCTGCCTACACAAAGATGGATGAGATACACCCTTGTGGGCCTTTCTAGCAAAATTGTCTAGGATGCTCTGTCTCTGGAGAAGATATTGTTGTGCTTAGACTGATTACCAACTTCCTTCAGTATGTGAGTTTTTGCCTGTGGTGACAGTGTTTCCTGAAATTTCAAAAAGAATATAATCAAAACAAATGGAAACCTACATTGTATATTTACAGCATTTTGACATAAAAGTTATTGGAAATGGTGGTCAGAGCAGGTGTTTAAAAGTAACAGTGTGGAACTGTTGACTTCTCCACAAAATGTGAGCTTTTGCATTTTTCCTTCATAAAAATTGCCAGGATCATGTCTGCAGGAATTGTGTACATGAAGTACATATTTGTGTATACAGACTTTTTTCAATGCACTCAACCAGCTTTTAAACCTTGATAAAATGCAGACAAACTTTTCAGTATCATCCAAGACTGCCTTAGAACAGCCTACTGACAAACTGCTTTTGTTGCAGCCCCTGCAGTACTTCTGTCCTTAACTAAAACACCTTGTGCAGTGGTTGTCACAGTGTCACTGGTAGTGTGGCAGCTTCCCAAATCCTGTGCCTGCAGAGAGATTTGCAGGAGCCTGATGCACCACATCCTGCCTGCATCTTGATCTGGTGATGCTGAACTTCCTCTGTCTCTGCAGGTCCCTTGCAACCATGCTGAAGTCTAGAAGAGTGCAGGTGCTCCTGATTCTGATAGTTCTGTCCTTCCTTCTGATCCACTTCCTACCCTGCAGCAACAACGCCCCCATGGAAGAAAAACCTTCTCCAGTCCACATCCTCATTCTGTCCTCCTGGCGGTCAGGATCTTCCTTCACTGGACAAATCTTCAGCCAGCACCCCAGCGTCTTCTACCTGATGGAGCCTGCGTGGCATGTGTGGGTTAAGATGTACCAGAACAGTGCCAAAGTCTTGCACATGGCAGTGCGGGACCTGGTCAGGTCGGTTTTTCTGTGTGACATGTCTGTGTTTGATGCTTACATGTCTAGCCAGAAGAAAAAGTCTGATTTATTTCAGTGGGAGACAAGCCGAGCCTTGTGCTCCCCCCCTGCCTGTGACTCGTTCAGTCGCAGTGACATAATCACTGCAGGCAATTGCAAGACAATCTGTGGCAAGTATCCATTCAGCAAGGTGGAGGAAGCCTGTAAAACCTATAGCCATGTTGCTGTCAAGGAGGTTCGGTTCTTTGACCTGAAAGTTCTCTACCCTCTTCTCACTGATCCGTCCTTGAACCTCAAAATCATCCACTTGGTACGTGATCCTCGGGCTGTGTTCAGGTCCCGCGAGAAGACAGTGGCAGACCTGAAACGTGACAGTAACATTGTGGTGGGGGCTCAGAGGACAAAGGGAGAAATGGGGCCCTACAACGCAATGCAAATAATCTGCAAAAGCCATGTGGAGATTTACAAGGCAGGAAGTCAGGCCATTCCCAGCTTCCTGAAAGACCGGTACCTGCTCATTCGCTATGAAGACATTGTCAGGGACCCTCTAGCAAGGGCTGCTCAGATGTACAAGTTTGCAGAACTCCATTTCACACCCGAACTTCAGAAGTGGGTTCACAACATCACCCATGGGAAGGGTCATGGTGCACAGGCCTTTGACATTGGGTCCAGAGATGCGTTGAGAGTATCCCAGGCCTGGAGGAATACACTGCCCTACCATAAGATAGAAAAAGTTCAAAATGTGTGCAAGGATGCGATGGACCTGCTGGGCTATCGGCTCCTTCAGTCTGAAGAAGAGCAGAAAAATATGTCTCTGGATCTTTTGCTTGCCCAGAATTCCTCCGAGTATCAAATTCCAAAGGCAGAAAAGCTGATCTCTGTACCTACTCTCTGAAGGCTGCAGAATGCACAACTATTCACCAGAGCAAAAGAGGACAGAGGTGCAGGCACGGAAGTGCAAGAATATTTGCATGGATGCAAGGACAAGTAACACAGGAACCCCAACTGCAGTCACAAGAGCTCTCAGCAGCACAGGGTCACTCTCCAAGGCCCCTGGAGGCTCAGCCACAATGGAGGCTGAAGGAATGCAAGTTTGTTTTCCAAATTATGTAGGTTGGAGCATACAGAATGCCAAAGGAGTGGAACCAGATAGCAGAGCACAAACTCCTCACAGACCACAACTAAATACTAGGGAAAATGCATGGAGCAATTGCACTGCAAAGGAAGCAGAAATATAAAAGGAAGCTGAGTAAAGAGAACATTATTTGTCATGTTGCCAGAAGAGACACAAGGATGACCAGACATTTGGCTTCTGGAAAGATGTTTGTTTGTTTTCTGAATGGTTGAGTTTTCAAGCCCAGTTTTTGTTTTGCTCCATTCCTGTGCCTGGGTATCCAGCCTAGGTGGCAATGTTGGGGAAATGTTTGTGTTCACTTACTGTGTAATGGGAAAATGGAATAAACCAGCTGTTGTTGAAAATACAACCTCCTGGGTTTGCATGTGAGGATCCATTCCTGAGATTATGTGAATCCATTTATCTTTAGCTGAAATAATTCTTTCAAACCCAAGAATAGTTGTTCCCCTGGGAATTATCACATGTGCAACAGAAGAATTCATGCTAAGGTTGAAGTTGTAAAGATAAGGTAAGCACATAGATTCCATTAGTACAAATGCTGGAACTGGGAAGACAGCTTTATGGAGAGGACTGAAGGAGCCCAGAGAAGAACAGGAAGTTTTTGAATTATTTGGTGAGAGTATTTCTCGTCTTAGAGCATAATAAAATATGTTTAATAGATTATGCTATTCTCCACTATCTCCATTGGAGATGCCATTCATAGAATCATAGAATTTTAGGGGTCAGACTTTAGAGCAGTGCCAACCCCCTGCCCTGGGCAGGGACAACTCCCACCAGAACAGTTGCTCAAGGCTTCATCCAACCTGGCTTTGAACACTGCCAGGGCTGGGGCAGCCACAGCCTCCCTGGGCAACCTGTGTCTCAGTGTCTCACCACCCTCACAGGGAAAACTTCGTCTTAATTCTCACACTTCCAATAGGAATATGTAGCTCAAACCTGAACAACAGAATTATTTTTACCTGGCTTTAACAGTGTTCCAGAAGACAAGGAGAAAAACTTGTTACCAGACTTGTGGAGGACTAAAATGCCTTAAAATTTCTAAACATCCTTTTTCCTGAGCAAATGGTAGGGTCCCTTTAACACACGTAGACAGGTCACTTGGCACCTTGTGCATATCTATATTCCCAGAGCTAAACCTCTAATCCTGCAAAGGGTGAGATGTTGCATAGAATGGAAGCAATAGTCTTATTACTAGGTATGCTGTAGTTGAATGACAAGATAAGTCCATGCTGAGCAGGCAGTACTGGCATCAGGGTACCAAGTCCACTGAAAGTGAGGTAACTTCCTTTACACAGCGTTTATGCAAACTCAGGGCAGACAGGCAGGCTGACCTAGTGAACTGGGACTTGTACTGTGCCAGAGAATCACAGACACTGTTTTCCTTTAAAGTCCCTGTAAAACAGACCTTAACTTACTCAGCTAGAAGTGTGGGATCTCAGGAGCCTGTTCTTGCTGAAGTTATAGTAAAAAGCTTCCTACTTGAGCCAATAAGCCTGATTCTGAGCAAAAATAGATTCTTTTCAGTACATTGCTAATTATATCTCTGCATTAACAAAGCTCAGCTTGAGTGGCCTAAGTTTTGTTAGGAATACTTGTTTTCAGTGGACTCAGTCGATTTTGTGTACCAAATGTTTCCCTGAACAAAAACCTTCATGGTGTTTTCAGTCAGTTAGTAAACAAATTATGCAAAAGTAACATATGATGCATTTTCTTAATGTACTGTTATGAAAATTGCTTTAGCTTCTGCTTCCTAAGTTCAACCAGAGAAAAGGCAGGATTGCTCATTTCAGTGTGTCTTTACTACAGTTCTGTAGGTGTGTTTCCTCAGTGCAACAATTGGTAAGATTTGCTTTTTTCTGAAAGCAGTAAAACTACACAGTGTGGTCACATGAAAATATCCCTTAATGCAAGCAAAAATGACTTAAAATACTTTTTGGAGGGGGCAAAAAAAGTAAACCCAACAAAAAAAGCCCTAGAATTCTTGAGACGGTGTAAAACTATGACTGTGTCCTTTGGCACATACATAAAATAAAGATCATGGAAGTCTGTGTAGAAACTAACATCAAGTTTGCATTGTGCCAGTTTAGGAGAATAAACTCTGGTTTTATACTATGAAGTGTAAGATGGAGAGGTCTCCAATCAAAAGGACACTGAAGAGCTGACTTGGTGGTATTTCTGACTGTTGCTCTTCAACCTGGTGCACTGCAGTCAGTTCTTCGCTGGTGACTGTAGCTACGAAAGGGCAGAAGTTCAGTGTTTTTGATGAATGCTGAGTGTCTCTAAAAGGAAACAAACACTAAATACCCAAATTCCAAAAACCAGTTTGCAGACCCAGAATTTCTGCCTCTGGAATTGTCTTTAAGTTCTGCATGTGCATTGCCACTTTGCTCACCTTTCCAGGGTTACAAATATTGCTGCTCCAGGCAATAACACAAAGAAGAAACTCTTATTCTTTGAGCTACAAAAAGAGCCTCCCTGACAGTACAGGGACCTGATGAGAACGTGGAAAAACAAACTGTTTCCAGCACACTGGAAGGAACATAACTCTGTTGTAGGTAAGACAAAACACAGAAAATGAGGACTCTTATCATGGGAAAAGGCAGTGCCAGAATGCCCTGAACTGGAACCATATGATATGGTGACATCTCCAGGTTTTAATGGAAAAGTGGAGACCTAGACCCATGTGCCTGCACAAGCAAGAGTACCTGTGGACCACAGTGCCTTTCAGGAGTTCAGAACAGGTGAAAGAAGGCAACCTTGAGTAAGCTGTGCTGTGTCAATTCCTACACCTCCTGTGTGCTCCAAGTGCCGATGCAACGGTTCTGGGTGTTGACAATGCATTTGTACAGCTCTGCAGAGGTCAAAGCACTGTATGTGGAGTCGGTTTGCAATACATGTTTGACCAATTGCCCTGAAAGACAAAGTCACTCTTAAAATGTGTCACTTAGAATCGGGAAGAGATATAGTAGGCCTGATTTCTTTTTTATATTGCAGCCATTTAATGTGTTCTACCTCTCACTTTGAATGCTAGAGCAGTTTTGTTAAACAAGACACTTCAATTGCACAGTATGGTGCTGCTGAGATGTGTACACCATCCCAGCTGCAATGGGAGTTTTGGGCTGCAGGAGGCGACACGGCTCCTGCTCATGAACCTGGTCATCAGCAGCACTTGGATTTCAGATCCAGCTGGTAAAGTTTCCAACCTAAAAACAAAATAGTACTATTTTATTTGCTATATTGCCTTGTACTCTCTCGTTAAGTGCTTGTACAGCCCTCCACACATGTCTCAACCAACCAGCCTGAGCAGCAC